CGGGGAATTGATCCGGAGCTGCGGTAATGCTCTAAGCCAAGGAATTCGCGGATATCTCATCCCGCTGGATTCTAAAGGAACATGGAGGAAGAAGTACAAGAGGAAGCGGAGGAGCGGCACGAGGACGAGGGTGGCGGCGAGCCGCGGGAGAGTTGTTCGAGAGGGATGCCGTGCCGCGCGCACGAAACCGCTGGGGATTCGCGCTGTTTTATGGGACGTTGGAACGCTCGTTTCGCATTGTTTGTTCGCATAATAATTTACGTGCCGGCTTGCTTGCAGGATGACTGCCGGCGTGAAGGGTGGGTGGCGGCGCGAATAAGAAATGTTCTATATATGTCGCGTGTGAAATAGGAGCGGAGGAGATCAGATGGAAGGAGAGAGGTCGGAAGAGAAAGACCGAGCGAGAGAAGGGCGAGGAGGAGGAGGAAGGGAAGTAAACATGGAGTAGAGTAACATGAAAGGAGCGGAGAAAGACGGCGGAGAGAGCGACGGAGAGAGAATACGCGAGGAATACGTGCGCTCGGCCGAGAGTCGTCTAGCAGACGACGAAGTTGCTTCACGGGATATTTCCTCCTCGTCTCTGAATAATATCTCCGTCTATCTCCACGGCTGTTTGTCCCGTCATTACGTCTACTTCCCTCTTTCTTCATTTGTCACCGACGCGAGCGTTTGCGATCGTCGGCCGCGAATTGTTCGCGGAATCGGTTGTACTCTCGAGGATCCTCGGGCGCGCCGCGCGCTCTTCTCAGTTTCTTCTGCGGCCGGGACGTGTGCGACGACCCGTTAGATCTTGCTTCCTTCCTTCCTTCCTTCCTTCCTTCCTTCCTTCCTTCCTTCCTTCCTTTCTCTTTTTCGACAAATTTTCGCAAGATGGATCGCGCGCGAACGCTTTCAATCCGATGTCACGGCGCGCACGCGCTCGCATATTTCAAGGGAGGATCCGGAGCTAACGAAGTGGAATCTCGAGACGTTCCGCGTAGATGGGGCCGCGCATTGTGCGCCAGTCGGATGGAAGGTTTCACGACCTTGCAGCTTCGCACGTCCTTTTAACGTCGGACGGGCACTCGAGCTTTCATGACCTTGCGCCTCATTGTCCGGTCTCTCGGATACGACGTCTTCGGTGCGATTAATTGGAGCCGTCCGTGTAAGGGTGGGAGGGACGTTAAGTAGAACTCACGAAACGGCTGAATCACCTCCTCCCGCGAGAAACTTGAAGCAACCAAAGCTCGCCCCTCCGGCCGGCGCGAAGACAATGACGCGGAAAATGGGGCCTTTGTATGACATTTTCAAAGGGAAACTCACGTCGCCGCTGCCGCCGCCGCCCCGCTACTGTCGCCGCGGCGCATTAATCAAAATCGCAAAATTCCAGGGATTGTGACCGCCGCGGCCGCGTCGGGGAAAAATGAAAGTAATCAGTCGACGCGCATCGTATCGGCAAAAGGAGGTATCGAAATTTTGAAAATGGACAATTTCCTGGATAGCCTCGTCATATCGAAATCCGAATGCTGAGACGATATTCCGAGATACAATTTTACCGAAATGTTGCAACTGTTTTCTTTATACAGCCGAATTAATTAGTATCTACTCATTTGAGCGCGGCGAAAGCTCGAGTAGAAAAATTAATAGGGCTCTGGTAAAGGCCTGATTATTTTTCCCTAATATTAATCGGCTCCTGGTAGAGATAGAGAGACAAAAGCCCTACAATATGGGTCTAACAAATTGTTTAACGAGTTTTTATAAGACAATATTATGAGAGCTTTATAAGGCAATATCAACGGGGCCTTATAAAGCAATATTAATAGAGCCTTAATAAGGAAATATTTTTATTATTGCTTGAGTAAAAATATTCGTCCTTTTCATTCCAAGAAATTTAGACTGTAATTTCTTTATTTCTTTGTAACTTTGTTAGTGTACAACAAGAATTTTTTATTTTAAAAATATAGCAAATTTACAATAAAATATAGCATTCTTTACACATAAAAATCCTGCTACTGTTTTTATTAAAGTTTGCTGCATTTCAAAACGAAGGCAATATTAGAAAAATCCTTGGAAGAGACTAATGAATATGACAACTAATAAAACTAATAAAATTTGTTTGTAATCGCGGTATAATTAAAAAATCTTCAAAAGAACCAGATAGAGCGTACCTACTAAAATAATATTAAACTATGACAATTTTATTTCACGTTTCAGATCTTATTAATTTTCTATAACAAAACTTGATTTTGTATATCTAAAGCATTCTTAAAAAATCCTTTTAAGGTCCACATTAGTTTTCCATATTAAAGCGTTATTTCGTAAAATCTAAGGTTTCCCTAAAAAATCCTTTTAAGGTCCTTCTCAGCTTTCCCTATCAAAGCCTTATTTATTAAATCTAAAACACCCCTAATAAATCCTTCTAAGACTCTTCAGTTTTCCTTGTCAAAGCCTTATTTCGTAAAATCTAAGGTATCCCTAAAAGATTCATCTCGGGGCCTGATAATGAGGCATCTCTTTTTAGGGTATCTTGCTTTCAGCCTTATCGGGGCCTTATGCCTTCATGAGGATGGCCCTAACAATTTTTTGCTCGGGAGGCTACACTCGAATGATTAAGCGCTAACACATCTTCGTTTTGAAATGCAGCAAACTTTAATAAAAACAGTAGCAGGATTTTTATGTGTAAAGAATGCTATATTTTATTGTAAATTTGCTATATTTTTAAAATAAAAAATTCTTGTTGTATACTAACAAAGTTATAAAGAAATAAAGAAATTACAGTCTAAATTTCTTGGAATGAAAAGGACGAATATTTTTACTCAAGCAATAATAAAAATATTTCCTTATTAAGGCTATATTAATATTGTACGTTACTCCAAGCAATAATTCCTTCTTCGGACAATTGTATACTTTGAGAAAATTGTATGATAATTATATAGAAAAGGTCGGCGCGAGCGCGATCGATATGCTAATCTCCGACGGTTATCGCACTTATCGCAAGCGGCGGCGACGGTGACGGCATAACGCTGGTCGCGGTCGTTCGACGAGTTCGGAGATCAAAGGGCGACCTCCCTCTCTCCCTACGCACTCGCTGCCGTAACTCTGCCCCTTGCCGCGCCGCAAAATCCGCTCCGCCGCGAATGCCCCGCAATTGCGGAGCGTTGGAAGAATTTGCATCGACGGGGACGCTCGCGCGTTATCGCCGTAATTTCCATGGAACATGCCGGATGCCCCCGGGGGCCGCGCGCCCCGGGCTAACGCATTCCATTTGCGTAACACCCCCGCGCTCGCCGCCCGCTCGCGATCCGAAGTGTTTCTCCAGGTCGGCCGGTGTTCCAAAGGAGCACCGCGAAACATACACAGAGAGCCGAGAGCGTCGGCAGGGCAGCAGGAGCGGAGAGACGTACAACAAGGGCGAGTGAGCGCGCGTGCAGCTTCGTCCTGAATAAAAGATCGTTTTGAGAATCAGCGCGCACTGGCCGAGCGGGATCGGCGCGGCGGCGGCGGCGGCGGCGGCGGCGGCGGCGGCGGCGGCGGCGGCAGCGGCGGCGACGGCAGCGGCGGCGGGGCGGGAGCAAAAATCGCGTATCGGATGCTGGTTAATTCATGGCAGCCCGGGGATCCCGCGGGATAGACGGGCAAAAAGAGAGCGGAGAGTGATAAAGTACGTTTCGTGCTGCGAGTCCCTGTCTCCCTGCGGCTTTCATGTACGTACGTAACGTACGTAAGTACATACGTACGTTGGCGCTCTACCCTTCTCATTTCTCGCCCTTCGTCCTCCTCTCCTGCGGAGATACCAGGGTCTCGATTTTTTGCCGTCCACTTCGCGTTTAGTTCTGAGATATTTCGCGGTCCGGTGGGAGGGTGGGAGGAAGTTCGAAGCCGAAGATCGGCAGGTGCTCGGCCGAGCGTGCTGGGCGAATTAAAGTTTAAAGGGCTTCAACTCGCGCCATGACCCCGCGGAGTCCGGCGAGTCTTGAAAGTTTTAGCTTGGCTTTGTCATCGCTTAACCCTGGACGAATAATGCGCGACGTAACGGGGCTCTCACGATAAGTGACCTCTCCTCTGTGTCACGAAAGAGGAGAAAGAGAAGGAGAGAGATATCCCTCTGTGTGACGTTAAATCGACAATATTAATTTGTTCCCGTTATTCCCGCGGTCGATTCTCCGTAGCTTCTCCATCGCGTCTGGGAAGAGACGCTCCGCTGGCGACGATGTTTTTCTCCTCTTCCGTTTGTCGTTTTTTATGTTCGTAGTCTCCTAAAGAGCGAGGCGAGCACGCGGCTAATCGTAGAGTTTAAATTTTTGCGGAGACGTACATCGAATTTAAAACAACTAAATTGTTTATATCTTGCGAAATCCGCTCCGATGGTCGGAGCGAATTCAGCGCGCTGAGAGACAATTTCGTCCCTCTTATGGTGGGGAATGTTTAATAATGCACCGTGGCATTCGCGAAGATCTAGTGGAAAATTATCGTTACGGCGATGCGAATTGTAAAATAAACTTGCAGACGATACTTTTGTTAAAAATGACGATAGAAGAAACGAGAGAAAAAGAAAGAGAGAGATGGCAATAAACCGATGAAACAATAAACATAACTCGCAATGCATAACACAAATATCGAGAAAATATCGCGGTACCAAAGTTGATTATATTTCCACGACGATGAGTGAAAAGGGGAAGACAGCTTTTATTTCGAGAAATCAACGAGAATCGGTCGCACGACTCTCGAGATTTCGGAATGCTCGTGCCTCGAATAAATCCCGAAAATGGCGCTAAACGAAGAACGATGTCGCGTTGATCCGAGACGGAGTCCAATCAAGATCGGATTAAGGGGGAAAAAATGCATGAACAAGGAAAACGCGATAGCTTTGAGAAATCCAAGACGGAGAGCTCCCGTCTGTCGAGAATATACAGACGACGAATTCCTCGTATTCGCGCGATCTTATCGTCTCTCTCGGGCGATAACGTTTCACCGGACTCACGCTGGCTCGCGTGTCGCGCATAGAAAGCGATAGCACTCACCGCACGCGCCCTGATGTTTCACCCTGGTGTTTTTCCTCTTCTGGCAGCTGACCTGCCGCAGGTGACAATAGTTCGTGTAGGTCACGTCGTCCGAGCCGCAGACGGGATCAGAAGTCGTGGGACAGTCCGCAGGACACTGGCACTGAGCCTTGCCGTCAGACACGATGCATGTCGCGCCCCAGGCGCAGTAGGTCTTCTCGCAGGGTTCTGAAATGAGAGAAAAGCGTGTCTTCCGTTTATTTCTCGTCGCTGACCGAGAAACCAATGTTTATACTCGCGGACGGCGATTCGTTCCGAACTAGGTCCAGTGGAGCGAGTTCAAAAGATGCCCGCTCTGTACTAACTAGGAGAATATTTACCAAAAGATGGTACACTGAGAGAAAAATTGCTGTATAGCGTTACCGTACAGCGTTAGCGAACCGATATGAACCTGGCAAGCAATTTGAAAAAAAAAAAATTTGCAATACGGTTCAATTGTACTTTCTTTGTACCTGTTTATACCACTTTTTGTTTCGTTTGTATCTCAAAGGAAAAATAGCCAGCAAGCAAGTATAAGATATCCGTAAACGGCCAACGCCATTCGAAAGAGAATTGTTTGAATCCGTTTGTACCTCTCTTCAAATCGTTTGTACCTCAAAGGAACCAGAAGTACAGGAACTTCAAAAACCGAATGGCGTTGGCCGTTCTGCGATATCTCAAAAATTGGCGAAAATACGTCTTGGACGTTTTTTGTTCACATCGTTCACATCGGTTGTTAGCGATGCTACTTTTTTACATGCTTGTTGCTACACTGAGGAAAAATATCTAAAAAATTAAAAAGATATTTATCCGATAGGTACTAGTGAATATATTTACTTGAATCTAAGTCACTTAAAAGAAATAAATAGCCGTTTTCGTGAAAAGTTGTGGTTTGAAGAAAATTAATTACATCTTCTTTTTTTTTTCTTTTTTCAATATATTTTCGAATGAGAATATGAGAGTGATGTGTTATTAGTACCTATCGGATATTTTTTATTTTTCAGATATTTGTTTCCTCCAGTATATTGTTACTTTTTGTTAGACCGTTAACAAGATATAATCGGAAATGACTAATTTTAGTAAGATTAACTACCTTTTTTCTCTCAGTGTATTAGACTATTGGAAATTGAAATTTGATCAATTAAGATAACAACGGATTAAGGAATAATCGAAAAGTTAAATATTTCACTAAACTTTTTTATGATCCGAATCGTCAATCTGCAATCAATCAGTTTCATACGAGTTTTACGCGTATAATTCTATTTCTCTTCTCTTTTACTTCCACTAGACAGAACAGAGAATTATAATCAGACTTGACTGTAGTTCCAGCTGAGGGCGAATCGCCATCCGCGTGAGTGTACCAAAGTATAAAATCCCAAGCTGACTCGAGTCAACGATCGACCGATCGTTCTCGTTCTCGCTCGCGTTTCCGCTCGGAAGCGGAGCCTCGGCCACGAAAATGTTAAACGATTTTATCATAGCACTCAGTACGCTTCTTGCGCGCGATTAAAAATGGCTCGCCCCGAGTAATCCCTCCGAATTTCCTTAGAGCCTGGCCCCGCTATTTAATCGACTTTGCGAAGCGTTGTTGCGGGGCTGAGGCTTTTAACAATAGACAACAATTTTCGGACAATGGCGGCTTTTCTTCCGCGAGGAATCGCGGACGGCGCTGATAGCGTATTCCGCTGAAAAGCGTCACGTCGCGCCGCTGCGTTGTTAATTGTTAACGCTGCTTTCCGTCGTCACACCGCGGAAGGGAAGTTTGGGAGCCGCTCGGGAGTCCGCTCGGTCTCGAAGAAATCGCCTCGAGGGGGCGAGACGGGGGATGAAATCTCCGCTCCGATGGGGTCGCGCCGCCAGTTGGGCTTTACGGCCGGTGGTTTCTGTTTATCGCGTTTTCCTCCTCTCTGCCACCCGCTGGCGTTTGTTCTGGAGTAAAGGTTGATTCGCACATACGTGGAACTACCATACGCCAACTGTACAGGGTCGTTCTTCGATCGACAAGTTTCGATCGTCGCCGTCGAGACCGTCGCGCGTCGGTCTCGTTCTAACGCGACACACACGGAAGCTATTTTTTCCCTCCCAACGAAGCTGTCACGGAGGCGAGCGTCCCGTCTCCGATGGGAGAACACCCATTACGGCGGTATTACTCGGCAAAAATAATTAGCGACTGGCGCACTCCGGTTTCTCTTTCTTTCTCTTTGTCCCCCCCCTTCTTTGGCGGTAGCGAAATTAAATAAATTCTTTCGCTCTCTCGCTCCCTCACCTTCGAATCTTGAGGGACGTTACAGTTTCCCTCGTCATTTTTCGTCTCGATCTTCTCACTGGCGCCCATCGAGGGTGCGGGGCAACCTCGCGATGTACAAGAGCGCGTGATCGTTCCTCTTTCAAGTATGAAAATCCACCGAAGAGTAAATAACACGCCGCGCGCTGAATGGACTTTAATTATCATTCGGGACGCGGTTGGACCGCCGTCTTCCTTTGCTCGCGTCTCTTTCTCCGCCGTTTCCCTCCGGCTTGCGACGAGGCGCGCGATCAATTTTACGGGGAAGCTCGCTGTTCAAAGAAGACGGACCTGCGTGCGTGAGAAAGAAAGAGAGAGAGAGAGAGAGAGAGAGAGAGAGAGAGAGAGAGAAATCCCGACGGATAATCCGTGCCGCGTGGTCATTAATACAGCGGACGAGTTGATCCCCGGCGAAAGAAATCGCCGAATTCACGCCGGCCTCTCGCTGTTCAATGCTCTCTCGCTCTCTTTCTCTTTCGCTCTCATTCTTCTTCGGAGCTGCTCAGCGCTTGAAGTATTAGTAGCAGTAATGGTAGTAGAGGAAGAAGAAGAAGAAGACGGCTTTCTTCGAGAGCCTTGCTACCCCCGCGGCCGTGCCGCTCCATTTTCGCCATGGTGAAACGGTGTCGGCGAAGCAAACGACGTCGTCCGCGCGTCCATGCGATCGAGAGAAAGCGATGAAGAGGACCGCGTTTTTCACAGCTCGTCCCGATTTTCTTGCCGACGTTGCCGCCGCCGCCGCCGCCGCCGAGCGGAAGCGACTGCGGCGACCGTTTCCGCTCCTGCGAATCCTCGCCGACCTGCGCGAGTTTCTTCCTCACCGGGAACCGCCTCTCGTTACGGCATCTTTTTCTTGTTTGCACGTTCCGCAGAGAGGCGTTTTCTTTAGAGACGTCCAAGTGAGCGAGCGCTTCCACCGTACGATTAAAGCAGATTCCCGAACTTTTTATGAACACGCCCGGTTCGCTTTAATAAGGACTTCCGCGAGGAATCGAGACTGCGTGTGAAGCGCAGTAAAGCGAGTAACATTTGATGATATTCTTTACTCCAACGCGATATCTCGGTGAACGTTTTTGTTTCATTTTGTGTTATTTCCACGTTTGCTCAAGTCCTCACTTGCAAGATTAGTGTTTACGTTTAGTGTGTAAGATTTGCCAATGCACATTAATTTTAATTAAAAGCTGATGCTGAGCCGTTCGGGCTGCATTTACTATATCGTTTGTTATAAATTATTGTAATTATTAGTTATAATTAGTTATTAATTATTATTATTATATTACTGAGTATTATTATTATTAATGACGCAGATATTTATATATTTATGTATATGATATATATAATATTATAGGATAAACTTTCGAAAAGCCCCCACTAACGCCTAATTGCGAGATAAATTTAACGCAAGTATTCAAACATTATGTATCGCTATTAATATATTACTCTACTTTCCCAGATTTATTTAAGCGTTATAATTATATGTGTTTTATGATAACAAATGCATATTCGTTCTAATTTAATCTAATTTAACTCATTGGAATGTAGTTGCCTCATTTTGATTGTACGTTGACGTATCTGAGAAAATAATGTAATGTAATTCGCGATATATAACGTTATTTAAACTTTTATGGTATTAAACTGTTTTGTCGCTGAAAATTCGTCTAAATCAAATAAAACTGAGAAGATAAGTCAAGTACTGATAACTTGAAAATTTGCGTACTTATTTGCAAAATGGTAAAGAACTTTTTTGTTCAGAATGGTTCAAGAAGACAGGGTCAAGATTTAAGGTTCAAAGTTCAATATATTCATATCTATCGCTAGACACAATAACCGTCATATAATTGTAAATTAGGTCATTCTGAATAAAAAAAAAGTCTTTTACCATTTTGCAAATAAGTATGCAAATTATCAATTAAAAAAACCTATAGATGTAGTTATTTTCAATTATTAATAACTTAACAACTATTGCGATTTTTGCAACATGACTTTTCTTTTCAGTTAGATCTGATTAAACTTCACACAATTCGTATAATATCTATTAAGTATAATATATATATATATATATATATATAACCCAAAATGAAGAGAGGGGGGAGAGACGTTTGATTGGATTTTCGTCGGAAGTCAATGATAGTTTCGAGAAATCCAATATTAGGAAAGAACTCGCGCTGCCGGTGTTACGCGGTGTATCTTTTTAAAAGCGTAACTCGAACTCTCTACAACGTCGCGAATTACAGCTGTACCGCAGCAACGGTAACAGTAGCAGCGGCGGGTTTGTCTTTTTCCGCTTCCGTTCCATGACCAGTCCGTCGGATACATCTCGGAACGAGATTTTCGATTTTACAGACTTCGCTTTCACAACCGGTTGTTACGGGCAAACTCTGCGGGGCCGTATTTCCAATGCAGTACGGCTATATAGAGTATAGAGCACGCGTGCACATCCCCGGCTCTCTCTCTCTCTCTCTCTCCCTCTCTCTCTCTCTCTCTCTCTCTCTCTCTCTCTCTCTCTCTCTCTCTCGCTCTGGACGCGTTTCGAACGAAATTATATCCGGCCCGATGATGTCGCTTCCGTCGACTATTGTTTACAGCGGCCACGTCGAAACTGCCTCGCCGCAGAGTGGCCGGTGTGACTTTTGGCGGTCGACGGCGCAACGCCATTTGTCCCGATCCCGATGTCGAGGATTTGCGCTGTAAACAAAACCAAAAGGGCGCGGGTCCGGATATGACACGGGACACGGTTATTTTCCCGCAATGTGGAAAATGTGACGGGCCATTCGCAACTTGGCCGGCCCGGCCCCGCGCGAATTTTCAATAAAAATATCTTCCGGTCTGTTCGCGCGTCGACCGTCCCTCCCTCCCGCCATCCGTGTATCATAAACTTCCGGCGTGAGATAGCTCGAGAGCAGTC